AATATAAGTCAACTGCATCATGCACTTCTTGTATATTTGTTGGTAATGGACCTGGTAGTATTTTGCGACGACTGTTGTATATAGTTTTTCTTATGTAGGACACATCAATTGTAGTTAGTGACTCTGGTAAATTAGTAGCAAGTACTTTACGGATAATTTTAGAAGGTTTTTCCGAAATATCATCAACTGCTTTTCGCTTACACGAATTAGAAATAATTTTCCTGTTTAATTTCGGTTCATTTGCTTCATGGCTATGAATTAGGTTGCCTCTGGATACTAAAAGTTCAGGACCAATTGTAAATACAGTGACATTACAAGCATTTGTTTTTCTTTGGGAGCATCTCCAAGAAACTTCTCCACTTTTCATTTCTCTATCTTTGGCAAACGTAAAATTCTCCAAAAGGAGTACATCTTTCCCGCGTGTGCTTTTAATCAATGTAGCTGACATTACAGAAATAATTATTGTTTATAAACACTCGAATTACAATCATCAACGTATAAAAACTGACTGAAATATAAACAGTAAACACCCAAAGTAAGTACCTATTAGAATTATTAATAATCAGGTAGGTACCTATTTGTGGGCGGATGTAATTTGCGGGTTTAGGTACCTGAATGCTACTGTGGGCAAAATACCAGTAAGATTAACGCACCCCTTTACTTACACAGGTAGAAAACAGAGATTTGTGGGCAAAAAGGACCCGCCGCAATTTACAGACGCCCCTAGAGAATTAGAATTTGATACCTAACTTATCTAAAGCATGTTTCAAGTATAATTTGTTAGTGATTAGTAATTTTCTACATATTTATCACTAATTTAGAGTTAAGTATAGTAAGCTTTAAATATAGTGGTGCCCAACTTCTTTTTCAAAGTTATTCGAGTTATTTAAGAACCTAACCCACGCTCTGTAAATTGAGCTCAAACACATATATATCAAAATAGACAAAATAACCAAGTATTTACGTTACAATTTATAAAAAAATATAACGACTAGTGCGCGGTATCGGCACTCCTGTATACAGAAAACAACTTTTCAATAAATACAGATTTAAATAAATGGTACAATAATTGCTATGAAAATAATTATTTCTATAAAATAAAATTAATTCCACAGTACCGGTCGAATCATTACAGGAAAAGAATTATTCCGAAAATTGGGTACCCCCCTGTATCCATAAAATAAAAATTCAGTGAATAGAACTAATTAAATACAACAGCTGAAAGCTATAGGAAAATAATTATGGTTCCCTGTATACGGAAAATAAATATGATTAATTAAATACCACAGTTGAAAGCTACAGGAAAATAATTATGGTTCCTCCTGTATAAGGAAACTAAATAAATTTATCAATAATTCATAAAATTAATAATGAAGAAAAACGGCCAAGTAATACAGGACAATATTTATTCCAAAAATTTATGAATCGCCCTGTACACAGAAAATAAATTTCCATTGAGCAAAAATTAAATTAAATATTCTGGTCAAATGATAAACGGAAAATAATTGAAACGGAGTAAATATTTTAAATATTATGGTTGATCGATTAAGAAGCTCCAAAATAAACAAAAACGGGTAGCTACGACGCTCCCTGCATACACAAAATAAATTTCCAAATGAGCAAAAATTAAATTAAATATTCTGTTCAAATGATAAACGGAAAATAATTAAAATGGAGTAATTATTGTTAATATTACGGTTGTTTGATTAAGATATTCCAAAATAAATAAAAAAGGGTAGCTACGACGCTCCCTGTATTCGGAAATTGAATATTCCAATAACTACAATTAAATTAAATATTCTGGTCAAATGAGAAATGGAAAATAATTAAAACGGAGTAATTATTTTAAATATTACGGTTGACCAATAAAGAAGCTCTAAAATAAATAAAAACGGGTATCTACGCTCTCTGTATTCGGAAAATGAGTTTTTTAGTAAATTAAATTTAATTAAATATTCTGGTCAGATGATAAACGGAAAATTAATAAAGCGGAGTAATTATTTTAAATGTTACGGTTGACCAATAAAGAAGCTTCAAAATAAATAAAAACGGGCATCTACGATTCTCCCTGTATTCGGGAAATGAGGTTTCCAATAACTAAAATTAAATTAAATATTGTAGTCAAATGATAAATGGAAAAAAATTAAAACGGAGTAATTATTTTAAATATTACGGTTGACCAATAAAGAAGCTCCAAAATAAACGGGTATTTACGACGCTCCCTGTATTCGGAAAATAAGTTTTTTAGTAACTAAATTTTAATTAATTATTCTGGTCAAATGATAAACGGAAAATAATTAAAAATGAGAAATTATTTTAAATAGTACGGTTGACCAATAAAAAAGCTCCAAAATAAATAAAAACGGGTAGCTACGTCTCTTCCTGTATTCGCAAAATATATTTATTTTTTATTTTTCTGTATTCTATTTATACAATAAAGTTTTTTCTTCCTTGGAGTTAACTATTCATTTGTTTGATTTAAAAATCCAATATCTAATCGTTGTTTTTTTGGTAGGTAATAATTCTATTTCATTGGATGAAATTTTGATCGAATGTAACTTTCTTTTTACTGGAAAGATGGTATGATAACAATATTACTAAGTATTACTCTTTAGTGTTAATTTAGCTTTCAAGGGTAGGTATCAAAGACAAAGCCAATTTACACAAAGTCTTATAACCTATAAACGGTTTTATGCAAGTGGAATGCTGAAGTTTATGCAGGATTATTTTGTTCCTTGCCCAATATCGGAAGGAAATTAAAAATGTTTGTTCTTAAAATTTACATCATAAATTGGTAAGTAAAATGTACTATTCACCTTTATACAAACCTTTATACCTATTACAGTTGGATATTATGAATTTATTACGAACAAGACCTGCCAAACACATGTTAAAACATAAAAATATATTTGATTAATTTTAAATTTAACATGTTTAACTAAAACTAAAATTAAATAAAAGTAAAGTACTTACCATGTTTTAATCAGCAACCATAACCATATTGTTTTGTTATTGTATCGGTTTGATCGGGTGACAATCCCAAAGTCAGATTTACATTCTACAAATAGTTGATCAATTCATGTTTTTCAAATAATTGTAGTATTTATATAAATATATAATTTTAAAACAATACTTTCCGTGTGTTACTTTTGGTACTAAGCGAGATATGTTTGAAATATTCAATTATGTGTACTTTAAATTTCAATATCAGTTTGTTATTGTAAAATGGACTGGTATATGCGGATGTGTTGCGCACTAACCTGTTGATATAACGCGCATATGTTATAAGCCCCCCTGAGTAAGATTCGCAATGTAATATACACTTTGGATTAAAATAAAGTTATAGATTCGATTCGATTTTGGTTTCATAACAATATGTAAGATAAGGAGGTCCCTTGTCCTAACAATACATGTGGACTCCAGATTGTCAAAAATCATTTGAAACCTTAAAAGAAGCGTTAATATCCATTTAATATCCAGATTTTTCTCAAAGTAATACATTTATTTTAAAAACAGACACTTCAGAAAAAGCAATTGGATCAATTCTTTGTAATTGTAATGGGTCTCCTGTAGCTTATGCAAGTCGATCTTTAAAACATTTCAGACCATATCTTTATTCTAGACGATTTGTCATTATGACAGATCACCGCCCACTTATTTATTTATTTATTTGGGACTAACCCTTCGAGTAGATTAACTAAATGTAGGTTAATATTAGAAGAATATGATTTTGTAGTTAATTATTTAAAAGGAAAGAACAATATGGAAGCAGACACTTTGCCTAGGATAGAAAAGTCATCTGAAGAGCTAAAAAATATAGGCAACAAAAATGAGTTAGTAAATGTAGTAACAAGGTTTCAAACGAAAAAACAATTACAATTAACAGAATTAGAAACGGCGAATAATAATGCTTCTACTAGGTCTGATCACCCTGGATTGGTGGCATTGTTAAAGCCAAATAAAAACGCAGTAGAATTAGAATTAATTAGTAGCGAACAATTTGAGAAAGTTACAAATAAACAACGTATACATAGACAACATAATTTTATTTACGATTTGGAGGAGACATTATTTATATAAAAAGAGAATCTCGATCAACGTGTGCTTTAGAGACATCGTTGAGAGAACTCTTTAATATATGCAAAAAATATAATATTACTGAAATGTATATTATAAATAATTTAAAAGGCGCGTCTTCACTTATAAAAGATATAATGCTGCACAAGCAGGAATTTGATGAATGTAAAATAGGTATAACTATTATAAAAGGCGTAGAAAGGTTATGAAAATAGACAGTTCATTCTAAATGATTTTCACATTTTACTTACTGGGGTCACGCTGGAATAAAAAGAATGTATAATACTATTAAGTAATATTATTACTGGTTAGGTTTATATGAAGATGTGGTTAATTTTTTAAGAAAATGTGATGATTGTCAATGATTTAAGCATTCTATTTAAGCAAAAGAACCCATGAGAATCACAATTACAGCAACCTCATAATTTGAAAATGTTCATTTAGATTTAGTTGGTCCGTTTAAAGCAGATTACGAAATCTGGTAGGATAAATAAAGAACATGTTGGTATTTTTAGAATTTAAAGTGAGGCATACAGTCTATGTTAAAAAAAGTTGGTTTAGGTTAATATTAGTTCATCCACTCGTATAGTTCATCTATAGTTCTATAAATACTTCTAATATTCTGGTGAAATAATGTAATATTTTTTTTTGTCATTTTCATGTAAGTGCATCGCATTATTTAAGTGTTTAATTGAATCGAGTTAAATTGTATTTGTAGGAGAATAATTAATATCTCTAATATATGGATTAATTTCTTTTTAATTTACGTTTCTTTATTAATTGATAAAACAGTTTTTAATTTCTGATGCCTTGTTAGGATTCACTACTCGACCATTCACTGTTGGGTTCAAATTACCAGTGCTGCTCCTAAAAACCTACACAGAACACGAGGCGAAATAACCAGAGTAGTTGAAGCCGATGACACAAAAAAATATCAGAATAAAATGTTTATAATCCAAATCTTAAATCTACGGATAAGTAGGGAGCGAATAACTGTACTAAAAGTTAAAATAATCACTAAAATAAAATTTTTATTATCTGTATTATGATGGGTGGTCCGGTTGTTTACCTGCTTAGTTGGGCTCCATTCATTTTTCTTTTTCCGGATACTGATTTTTTAGAGGTTCTGGAGATTTCGAAAATGAATTGATTCTCGGGTGTATATGGTATATCGTTGACATATAATTTAGTTTTCTTGATATATGATTCTAGCTCATGGACTTTTGCTCATTTGGAGTATATATAGTAGTTTAGGGGCCTGGTAGTCTACTGGGATATAATCCTTAGAAATAAAAATTCTCAATGCCTTTAAAAACGATTGGTTTCCAAGAATACTTTGTACCAACTTAAAATGAACGAATTCTATACGAAGTAGATTTGGATTTTTGGTATTTGGATTGTAACTGCCGATTCTATGAAAATCCCTGATATCATGAAATTTACAAACAAGTTCAAATTTAATATTTATTAAATCCAGCAGAACATTAGCGTCTTCTATTCCATGTACGATTCCGTAAAAAATTAAGCTGTATTTTTCAAATTTTCTATCATTTTTAGGTGTTCTGTCTTTCATAAAATTTATATCCTTTTTGAGTTGAGCATTTTTCTTTTTTAGATCATCTATTTCTTTCACCTTGTCGATAATGACTTTTACAGATGAAAGTTCTTGTAGGTGCACCTTCATAATGTCAATATATAATTTTCGCTATTATTTTAAAGATTTCTCAAACCAAATATTATAATTGGTTAAAACATTTATTTGTACATTACCAGTTAAATTTTACTATTTCATTTTGCTGTTAAACTACTTTTTAAAACAATATATGGAAGCACTTTTAAAACGTGTGTCTGCAGCTTCACACTTCACTATGGGTATTATTACGGGTAGCCTGATAAAGGGGTTCAAATTATCGAACTCCCCTAATCAGGTTGACTAGTAACCTCAGGGGTCGGGTTCCTGTAAATAGAAAGAAGAAAAAAAAGAGTTTGATTGATAGAATGTGAACGGGCCTTTATTACCTTATAACCTTGATCGTGATCAAAATTATAACCAATAAATTTACATTTATACGCAATGTCGACTATTCGGAAAGAAAGAAAATTATTATGTACAAGGCGTGTTTCCACAACTATTCTTACCTCTAAATTAAATACCCTTATAATATATAACCCTTCAAGTGGGTGGTTAAAATGCGATTTACGTAGAGTACTCTTCGTATTACAAAAAGGAAAAAAAAACTAAACCGGTAGGTGGATATTACAATTTAAATATATACATATACAAAAGAAATTGAGTCTATTTAAACAAGTATTTAACTATATATTTGTTGTAGGCTGAGTCTCAAACAACCTAACCTCGTTAGTAGATGGGGGCCCTCCGAAATATAGGGTTAAAAAAAGGAACCGTCTTACTTGTGGTGATTGAGTGAACTCAACGAAGCACGATGTCCAGTTAGGTAGCTTCTTCTTGAAATCGGTAGATAGTAGACTGCTATGAAAATGACTTCGTATTCGGTGGGGTTATCTAATTGTCTGTACTCTGTTGCTAGCACGCAAACGGTGAAGTGGAGAAATCCTATTCAATATGGAGAGGTGGAGAGAACGTGCACACAGTCCTTAGAAGTATTCCTCTCATAAAAGCGTTTACACAGAATTGTAAATCTGAACGAGCGAAGGAAGGAACGCACGAATGAAAGGAGCGAACCAAGGAGGTCTAAAAAACATTGACGATTGTAACGATTATGTATACAGAAGGCTGTTGGGAATATAGGTAAATGAACTAATAATTCATTTTGAAAAACTCACCCTTGATGGTATGTGACCTTTTAGATTATTAATAATTAAATTCACACTTTTAGTCCGATACTATATCCACCACTAGGTGTATGAATCACAAAGATCACTAACAATATATCGGACTAAAGGAATATATGGTTTTTGCACAGGAATAAATCCTAGAAAATCCTAGCTGAAATCTTGGCACATGCCACAATCAGAATCCAAGCAAAAACTGGGCCAGGAAGGAAGTTCCACAAAATGGCCAACAAAAGTCAATGTCTTAGCAGGAAGGCCCTGACTACAAAAGGGTAATAGGATAATTTATGGTAAGACTGTGGTCAATATTTATAAATTTAGAAGAATCTGACAACTGAAGGAGTTAAAATCGACATGTAAACAATAACAATAAAAATAAAGCTCTTTAGTAATTAAATGAGTTAGAGTTATTGTTCAAAGTAGCGAAATATATTTACTTACATTTTAAATTATTTATTAAGGTGTTAATTATAATTGAATATACTCCAGGTGAGATTATACTTTATTACAAAATATCTTATATTTTACTACAAAATATGTTTGATAAAAATGGATATTTTATGAATTTAATTAATGAACCCATTTTATTGATTTATATACATTTATATACCGCACACTCTTAAATCTAAAGGTAACTAAAGATATTAGCATAGGTTATAATAGAATAGGTAAGTAATAGAGTAGTTTAGTAATTAGAGTAGCTTAGGGTAAGTTAGATTCAAATAGAAGTAGAATAGTGTACATAGTTAAGCGTAGAATAGATTAGAAATAGAATAGTGTAAATAGTTAGCGTAGAATAGTAATAGGAATAAGTAGGATAGATTAGACTAATTTAGGATAGGGTAGGATAGACATTAGAATGAGTTAGAATAATTGAGATAAGTTTAGAATAGTTTAGGATAGTTTAGAATAGAAAAACCTAGTTTAGAGTAGTGTAAGTTTAGAATAATTTAAAATAGTACCCTAGGCTTGGAAATAGGATAGGTAAGAATAGTTTAGAGTAGTGTAAACTAGGGTAATTTAGACTAGTCTAGGTTTAGATAGAATAAAACCCGTAACAATCTATAATCTGTTTTAATTTTTTTTTTAATATATGGATTTTTTAATTATATACTATATTTGTTTTTTTCTTTATTCTGTTCAACCTTAATTTCACTTTAGTGCCAAAATTATAAATCAAGTAATTTGTATTTTTGGCCAATCAAAACATCAATATTTCTAATATCAATTTTTTTGCTCACGTTTCATAAACTGCTAGCGCCGGTCCTGACACCAGTTCTTAATCAAATATCAGTTTTTTTTATCTACAACATAGAAAACTCTTCGATTTTTCTTGCACTAACCTGGTTTGAAAATAATACCTACAATATGCAAATAAAATCACCTTCAAAAGATTCTAAGAATTTGCGTCAAAAAGCAGAGATATACAAATACAAGAATGTGTTTACAGTTACCGTGATAGTGCCATATTAGAAGTATATATCAAAATGCACTGAAAGGAAACGAACAATAATGGAGAATGTCCGTTTCACGTAGTGTAAATGGTATACAAAATTTGTCTATGTCTTTAATTTTAGGATTTGCGATCCAAATTAATTTTCGCGCGCCTGTCATTTGTCACTTATAAGTAGGATGTTTGTTTATTTACGTGTTGTGAGATTTTGTATCTGTGATTTTTTAACTGTTTTTAGATAATATTCTTATTATAATAGTGTTTTTGAGTTTCATTTAGTGTTAATTTAAGTTTAGTTTTCGTGCTTTCGTAATAAATATAATATTTTTCATGTGTAGTATGAACTAATTTGTTAGAAATATTGACCTATTGGTTGCTACAAGAACATCTAGAAATATGTATTTACTAAACCCAGGACATGTTTTATTATGTGGTTTAAAGGATATTTTAGGTACCAAACGTTTATTATTGATGAACTTATTTAAAAATCTTACTATTCTTATTCTTGTATCATGAAGTAAATTGTGTAGTACTTTGTATACATGTAAATGGTAATAAAACCGTCACAAATCAGATTGGAGTTTGATTCTAAACAAAGTTTTTCAATATTTCAATATTGTGATTTTGTAGTTACTCATTTATCGTAAGAAACAAAATTTTATGACTTGCACTTGAAAAATAATGAATACTTCAGTTTTGATTTTGACATTAACACCATATAGATTGCAATTTGCTGGGGGCTTTTTCGCAGATTTCATTTTTAATTCAAACACTATCACATACTATAAGAAATAAACAAATTTAATGCTAAAAAGTAAGAAAAAACTCGAATTGTAATTGATACAAATTAAAATGTAAACAATGAACGTGATCGCCAATGTTGCCAAATGATGAACTGATTTTGTCTCTGACTGATTTTAAAACAAAATCAATGAACTGAAATTTAAAAAAAAATCAATATAATAAATGGATTTTATAAAAAAATCCTTAAATAAATATAGAGTATGATTACATATTACTAGACACAAATTTTGATTCTTAAATAAAAGGTCTTATTCATTTCTTCAAGAACTAAAATCCAACGACGTAACGAAATTTTGCTGCTTCTGGCAACACTGAACGATATCCTACTTATAAGGACCTTCTACTAATTTCCTCCAGAGGGCGTATCACTTAGCTTGAATCGCGAGATCAATCATTGCTTGATCATTTATGTAAGGTTATGATCTTGATGCTAGATGTTTTATCAACCTTTATTTTATGATATAGTTATGATTTTATTTTTTCCTATCACCAGAGCGTACTACATAAATACAGGGTGATTTCTAAGTTGATACTTTTTTTTTAACTATGTATACAACAACTTAAAAGGAACAACTTTTTTAAATAACTCAAAAATTATTTTTATACACAAGAGCCATTTTAATTTTTAAACAATCTCAAATTAACTGAAACATGTCACGCGACGAACTGACAACAAATCGAGATGTCACTACTTGACATAAAAAATGTAAACACCAATAAAAAATCTACCAGCGGTCGTATCGCAGATTTTTCGACTTTTTAAATTAGCTTATCTACCTTATTTTTGAGATCTTTAAAAAAAGTGTAGTTGTGTACACAGTTAAAAAAGTATTAATATAGAAATCACCCTATTTATTATAACAATGACACAAGTACATAGCTCTATCAATATTTTATTGCAATTTATAACTAAAGCCCGTATATTAATAGATCATGACAGGGCCGGCTCTGGGCATGTGCAAAGTGTGCAGTTGAACAGGGCGCCAAATTCTAGTGGCGCCAAACAATTACTTTTATCAATTTAAAATATAATATTAGTTTTTTATTTGTCTAGTCATTAAGAAGAGCAGCCGGGGCGGTATAGATTTAATTTTAAATAAATAATTTTGATTATTTACCTAAATTTTATTAATATCCGACGCCGCCCCTGCGATTGTGCGTAAGAAATTCAGCGTTGCGTTGCAACCCCTGCGGTAGAGTACGAGCGACTTTTTAATGTACTGCAAAGCACGTAAAAGCCTGAGTTTAAAATTTGTATCTAGTGTCGATGTCATGTCACGATTTGCTAGCCTTTTCTATCTTACAGGGAGAATGTTTTATCGCGAGATCCTACGCTACTTTTGAATAGCGCTACCACTGAATTTATGTAATAATCGCAAGATAATGGCAAAAAGAAACCTTCTGGTTCGGAGTATAAAAAAAGAAAAGAAAAGCAGGAGGAATTAAAAAAGCAGACTGGAGCTGCTTTAGAAAGTGTTTTGAAAGACTTTCCTGGATCAAGTAAGAAGCAAGAAGAGTGAATTCCGGTAACGTCAAATGAAAAGGAACTTTTAAAGCATCAGAATCTGATATTCCACCTCGTTTGCAAGCAATAAAACACAATTCAGAATCTGATTTACCAACAGAAATAACAGAAAAAGTTTTACCACCACTTTTAACTTCAGATCCTGGTACATGGTTAAGTCATATTTCAGATTCAGACAGTATACTACTTGTAAAGGGTTTTTCAGTTGAGCCGCTATACAATTTTGAATTTCCCACCGAAGGATTCAGCAGAAGATTTAGTTAAAACTTTTACAAACGTAAATTGGAAAATGGTGAGCTAGTTTTAAGAGATTCGCTGGTAAGCTTTTTTCTGTCACTAATATATTATTGGTTAATGAATGTAACGACTGGAGACATATTGGTAAATTTCTAAATTTACATGAAACTACTAAAGTTCACTACGAGGCACAAACTTTATTATTCCAACTCTCGCATAGAACCTCTAAAACTATAGATAACTAGGTACAACGCTGAAATAAAGCACTTGAATGATGTGCTACT